AAAAAAAAAAAAAGGAATGAACCTACGGACCACAGATCAGTGGTAACAGGATTTTATTAGGCAGAAGGGAATACGGGAATAAAAAGCACCAGAGCTCTGGCAAAGGGGAAGACCCAAGTCAGGAGTCTCCTACATGGGAGACTTTGTCTAGGGATATGTAGACTTAGCAGATGGAAAAACACCTTTTCAAAGTTAACAGGTGTATTAACAAATGAATGAATGCAATCCCTGTATCAGGACTTTGCGGTTTTTGTCTCAGGGAAGGCATTAGGGTGTGTGCTTCCTACTCAAGGTGGAACCACCTAAAACGTTTCAGGCTGCTTTGTTCAAGACCTTGCTAGAGACCAGAGGGTATGGCCTGGAAAGGGCGGCTTGTTTGTGAGCTGGCTGGCCTCTGGAAAGGAGGATCTGATTTCTGAGCTCACTGGGCTTAGAGAATGAGGGGTCCCTGCCCAGGCCTGAGTGGGAGAACCCTGTATCATCTCCATACCTGGATGGATGGTGGTGAGCATCTGAGAGGCGAGAACAGGGGCCCACACAGAGCCCCCTTCTTTCTGTGTTCAGAATATCCTCGCACCAACACCAACATTATCTCACATGGTTACCCTTTTTGCGGCAAGAGAAGCTAAAATGTACTCATTTACCATGAATTCCAACTCTACACAGTACAATTTTATTACCCACAACTCTTATGTTCTGTGTTAGGTCCCTACACCTGTTCACCCTACCTGTCTGCTACTGTGTGTCCTCTCACCTTCAGTCTCCATCCCTCTACCCCACTTTTCTTTTCTTTCTTTAGCGGCCTGGGCTGGATTCAAGCCCGCCACCTTAGGTGTAGGTGGCTGGCGCCTTAGCCACTTGAGCCACAGGAGCCGAGCCGAGACTCTGTCTCAATTTAAAAAAAAGAAAAAACCTGCCTGGCCCTAGGGCTAAGTCTTGCCGGGCTGGATCCCAAGGCTGAGAAGGGCAGTGTGGCTTCAGGGTTCCGGGTTCCAAGATGGTGTACAAACAGAAACTAAGTCCTCGGGGTAACAGGCAGGAGGAGGAGCTTCGTCCAGTTGTAACTGCCCCTCCCCACCCCGGCTCCAAAACAGATGCGGAGCGTCTGGTACCGCGAAGGTGGGGGTGGATTCTGTGTGTGTGCTGGGATTGTGTTCTCCCGGCCACAGGCTGACCTGGGCAGTAAGGAATTCCAGACGACCTTTGCTAGTACTAAAGAAGGGTTAATGAGGACATATGCGCGAGGTGGGGTGCAGTCTGCCAGGCTGAAGTGTGAGTTTAGCCAGAGGACTGGGCCAGCTGGGGATGGATGCCTCTCCAAGGGAGAGGGGAGCAGGCATGACGGAAGGGCTTGACCTTTTCAGTCTGTCCCAGACCATCTCCCTGTTTTCAGTAGGTCCTTGGTCTCCGGGATTCAAGAATGAACACACGGGCGGGCGGCGCCCATAGTTCAGTGGGTAGGGCGCCTGCCACATACACCGAGGCTGGCGGGTTGAAACCCGGTCTGGTCCAGCTAAAAACTGCAACAACAACAAAACAGCCAGGCGTTGTGGCAGGCTCTGTAGTCCCAGCTACTTGGGAGGCTGAGGCAAGAGAATTGCTTAGGCCCAAGAGTTTCAGGTTGTTGGCTCGGCGCCTGTGGCTCAAGCGGCTAAGGCGCCAGCCACATACACCTAAGGTGAACCTTTTTGGCAACTGAGCCCACGATGGGGAATTTTGTGGGTTAGAGTTAAAACACAGGTGGTGGGCTCGGCGCCT